TAGTTTCTAAATATGTGAAATGTGAATAAAACCTTAGCAGTATTATGGTAAATATCAACATTTAAGTGGAAATTCTGTGCAAATGATAAAATTCTTTTGATAACTGCTTTTGATTTTGGCCTACTAGGGAACACTGGGGGAAAATGAAGGAAATCTCTAAAATTTGAAAGTTGGAAGAGTTTATATTTGCTTCTCTGAAATAGGCATCCAGGCTAATCAGAGGAATATTTAAAATGGGCCACCTTTAAAATGTTTTATTTTAGAAAATATTTGAAAAAGTAACTATGGTTTTGTGGAAAATTTATGTGTTACTTTGTTGTGATTCTGTTTTATTTTTATTTTTTGATGTTTATTAGTACATATGTGCAGTACTGAATATTTACTTTCTCTATAAGGGGTTTGTACATGTATATAAAAATTTTAGTTCCTTTCTCCCCCTCACCTCTACTCCCTTTTTATTTTTCCAGCATCAGATTCATTTACTTATCTTGTAAGACCTTATGAAGTTAATTATCATATATACAGACTGAAAACCAGACTAATAGGCCAAAGAAAATATAAAATATGTAAGACAGTTATACTGATTGTACTAAGTCAAGGTACACTTTTAGATGACATTGTCTGCACTGAATTACAATACTTTTTTTCTTTTTCTTTTTTCCTAATATCTGATATTTAAGTGATATTTAAGATGTGATATTTCAGCATGTGTGTCCAAGTTGCTTCATTTAACATATGGTCTCTAGTGGCATCCATTTTCCTACAAATGACTCAAGTTTATCCTTTTTTATGGCAGAGTGTGTAGTACTCCATTGTGTTTAAATACCACATTTTAAACATCCATTCAGCCATTGATGCACATTTAGGCTGTTTTCAAGATTTAGCTATTATGAATTGTGCTGCTGTAAACATGGGTATGCATATATCACTGTGCTATGATGTCTTTAATTTTTTTGGAATGATACCCAGAAGGGTCAAATGGAATTTCTGCTTTTAGTTTTTTGAGGATTCTTCATAGTAATTTCCATAGTGGCTGTTTCAGTTCACAGTCCCATGAACAATGGAGAAGGGTTCTTTTCTCCTCACAGCCTCACCAGCATTTGTTATTGGTTGAGTTCTTTTAAGTAGCCATTTTTTCTGAGTGATGAGGGATCTCAGTGTTGTTTTAATTTGCATTTCTCAAATGGCCAGTCATGTTGAACAATTTTTCATGTGTTTATTGGCCATTTGTATTTCTTCATCTGAGATATGTCTATTCATTTCAGATACCCATGTTTAATGAAGTTTTTAAATTGAAGGGGGTCTTTTTGGGTTTTTTTTTGCTTTACATATTCTAGCTATTAGTCCTTTGTCTGAGAAGTAGCTGGAAAAAAATGTTTTCCTACTCTATAGGTTGTCTCTTCACTCTGTTAGTGATTTCCTTTGCTATGTGGAAACTTTTTAATTTGATGTAATCCTATTTGTTGATTATTGGTGTTTTTTTCTTGTACAATTGATGTTTTGTTCAGAAAGTCTTTGCATACACCTATGTGTTCAAGAGTTTTACCTATTTTGTCTTCTAGCAGATTGTTTCTGTTCTTAAGTTTAGATCTTTGATCCACTGTGATTTTAATTTAGTGCATGGTAAAAGATGTGGGTTTAGGGTCAACCTCCTGCATGTGAGTAGCTAGTTTTCTTAGCACCATTTTTCAAGGAGGCTAGCTTTCCTCCAGCAAAGGAATTTGGCCCCTTCATCAAAAATAACATAGCCAAGTACTCCTGGAGTTATTTTAATATCTTCTATTCAGTTCTGTTGATCCATGAATCTTTTTTTTTTTTTTCTTGTTCCCTTCTTTTTTTTTTTTTTTTTAAATCACTATAGCTTTGTAGTATAACTTGCAGTCTGAGATTGCGATGCCCAATGCCTTGCTCTGGTTGCCCAGAATTGCTTTTGCTAATCTAGGTCTTTTTTGGTTCCATATGAATTTTGGACTGCTTTCTCCAGTTCTGCAAAGAATATTATTGGTGTTTTGATTGGGATTGCTTTAAATCTATGGTAGTTTTGGAAATAGGGTTATTTTGATTATATTTGTTGTGCCTATCCAGGAACAGGGGTTCTCTCTCCATTTTCTGATGTCTTTTTCAGTCTCCTTTTTCAGAGTAGTGTAGCTGCAGAGGTCTTTCACGTCCTTGGTTAGGTTAATTCCTAAGTGTTTCATTTTTCTTGATGCTATTGCTAATTTCCCTCTCAGTGAGTTTTTTTATTTGTGTATAGGAACATTAATGACTTTTGAATGTTGACTTTGCATATTGCTACACTGCCAAATTTGAATATTAGTTCTAGAAGTCTTTTGGTGGAGTTGTTGGGGTCTGCTATGTAGAGGATCATGTCATCAACAAATAGTGATAATTTAATTTTCTCTTTCCCTGTCCATATCCCTTTACTTCCTTCTCTTGCCTTTTTGGTCTAGCTAATGTTTCAAGAGCTAGATTAAACAGAAACAGTGATAACGGACATCTTTGTCTTGTTCCTGGTTTTAGAGGGAAAGCTTTCGGCTTCTCACCATTTAATATGATGTTGGCAGTTGATTTGTTATAGATGGCTTTTAACAGATTGAGAGAAAGACCTTCTATTCCTGTTTCCTTTAGTGTTTTTGTCATGAATGGATGTTGGATTTTGTCAAATGCTTTTTCTGCATCTATTGAGATGATCAGATGATTTTTGTCCTTGCTTCTGTTTATATGGTATGTTACATATATTGATTTGTTGAACCATGCCTGGAAAGAATCTTATTTGGTCATGATGTAAGATCTTTTTGATGATCTGCTGCATTCTGTTTGCCAATATCTTATGGAGGATTTCCACATCGGTGTTCATTAAAGAGATTGGCTTGTTCTCTTTTTTGGTTGGGTCCTTTTCTGGTTTTGGAATCAAGGTAATGCTTGCTTCAGGAATGTCTTTGGGGATACTGCTTCCCTTTTGATTTTATTAAAGAGTTTGAGGAGTATTAGATCTTCCCTGTAGTTAGAATTCAGCAGTGAATCCATCGGGGCCTGAGCTTTTCCTAGTTGGCACTTTTAAAAATTACTTCAGTTTCACTGGCTGATACTGGCTTATGCGGCAATTTATCTTTATGCTCCAATTTTCCTGTCAGATCCTTCGTGTATCCCAGGGGCCCACCTCCTTTCTTCTTTTAAGTTGTTATTTTCCAGTTATTTGTGTATAAGAACATTAATGACTTTTCATATTCCAGTATCTGGAACCTGAATTTTGGAGAGGTGGATTTGTTGCTGCTTACTGCTCTGTCACCTTCCTAGAAGTTCTCTTTGTTGTGATTGATGATATTACTACTTGTGTTATAGTCATAGCTCCAAGTGTGGAATGGCTGTCTGGTATTGAACAAATGAGTAGTGATTTCTGCTATTTTCACAGTTTTGCAAGATTTTGTGGAACTAACGCATTTAATTGTATTTATGCATTGCTGTGGTCTGTTTTTACAGATCATTTTAGTCCTGCTGTGGATAATGGCAGAGTTCAAATGCTAGATAGTAAGGTAACCGAGAGATGGGTTATATAATTAGGGTGTTAAGTGCTTTGGTGCTTAAAATACTTCATTATACATTAGCCACAAATAAAAAAGGTAATCTTAATTATAGGTATTGTGTTTATAGTGAAGTGGAAAAGATTAACAATAATTTTCAGCATTTAAAGTGCTCATGATTTTTGAACTGTGGTCTGCAGAAAGGATTGTGAGCATAAGTAGAACACTATTGGATATAAATAAGCAAAAATGAGGTATGATAAAAATACGGTGAATGAAAAATTTTTAAAAATGTATTACACTAAGAGACATTCTGTTAATGCTACTTGCAATATTGCCCCTTGATTTGAATATACTTATGTATCATTCTTGCCACTTTCTGAAGCAGTTCTGGAAGACCTTGTGCCTTAGCTATACTGTTGGAACTACTTCAGTGTCTTGAATCGATTCAAAACATTTACCTTTCATGGTCTTTCAGATTTGGGGGAAGAGCCAGAAGTTGCATGGTGCTCGATTTGGTGAATAAGGTGGGAGAGAACACATCGTAATGTTTTTATGAGCCTGCTTTTCCATTGGATGATACTTGCCAGGAGCATTCATTATACTTTTGCTCCCTTGTCTTGAAGACATGAAAGAGAACTTCCAGAATTGCTTCAAAAATTGTCAAGAATGATGATACATTAGTTTGAAGTGAGGAGAAATATTCTGAGGTGGGGTTAATAACAATGTATCTTTTATTGTAATAAAATTTGAAAAAAATATATATATACATTCACCATAGGTTTTGATCTCTGGGTGTGTGTGTATGCATGATTTTATTCATATATATATATGCCAATCTCTTATCACACTGCTTCTTTTTAAAACATTTGTTGTCTTTTAGATGTTTCCTAATAGTACATGTTATGTAGACTTTTTTCTCATGTAAGAGTTTTGTTGATAAGAATTGTCTGTTATGAATGGAAACTATCATGTAAGATCATTGTGTCTGTTAGTTCCGAAGCTTATCTTAGTGCTCTCATTTACTCTTCCATGACTTTGGACAAGTCTCTTTATCTCTGTGTTGTTTCATTATCTTTTAAATGAGGACAGTCATTTCAATATAGAATTGTTAAATGAATGATACTTTATATCTAGCCTACTGATTTCAAAAACATTGCTAAGGGTTTTGTTTGCTTATTTTTTGTTTGTTTGTTTCGTAGTGCTGAGGATCAAACGTAGGGCCTTGTGCTACCAGGCAGAAGAAGCAGTCTGATAAATGTAAAGGGTGTGGTTGCAGGATTTGAGGTCAAGCAGTGGCAGTTCGGGCCAAACTGCAGTTAAGCTCTCAGGCCATCCACAGTGGTTAAGAAAACAGGAAGTGAGAAGGGAAAGTAGTAATACGAGGCAACAACTCTACCACTGAGCCATATCCCCAGTCTTGTTTTTTTATTTTTTAAGGAGGTGTCTGTATTTTAAATTTTATTTTTTTACCTTTAGATAACAGACAAGAGAATATCCAGAAGACATGCCATTCTTGAGGTGGTGGGTGATCAGCTTCGAATCAAACCGGTAAATATGTTGTTAATGATTTATTTTAACATTTTATCTCTCACTCTTTTAATACTTGATTACAGGTGCCTATTTTCTCAGGTTGTGGAAATAGGGAATTAATGTGAGATTATATCATACTCATTGCCAGAAGATAATTGGGAGATGAAAAGATCTGAACTATTAAACTATATATTTTCTCATAGGGCAGAGCTACATTTATATAGTTACAATTTTAATGAAACATAATTGCCTGTTCATATATACATAATTAATTTGTTTATAACTGGATATTCCAAGTACAGTTCTATAAGAAAGCTCATAATTACAAAATTTTGTTTGTTTGTTTTGTTTTTTAGGGTGGGAATGGGATAGTGATCAAATCCACAGTCTGTATTACAGATTAGCATTTTAACAGATTTCTATACCTGCATATGTAGAGCTAAGTATTTCTAAAATTCAGAACTTGTTTAACTTCATGGTTGTATGAATTTTTTTTTATTTTAAAGAGAAGAGAAAACAAACTAACAACAACCAAGATAAAACCAAAACAATATGAAAACAATAAAAACAATACAGAATTTCAAAACAATGTGATAGGAAGTTAACAATGGTTATAACAGTGGTTGTTGTATTACATCTTGTTATCTTCAATGAAGTTGCTCAGATTACCAGATGTAAGAATGCAAGATTGATCAAACAAAGAGAATAAAAAAATTTTTTTTTAAATTAGAAACAATACAGTTTCACTAATCAAGACAGTAGGGATTCAACAATGGCTCTTATATTGTTTATTGTTGTCTTCAAATTAGTTGTTCAGATTACTGGATATAATCATGCAAAATTGGTCAAAAAAAGAACAATTTAAGCATTAACTGTTCCTTTCAATTAACCAACAGACTTCAGCAGTACAGTTATCCCAGCTATCCTTGTATACCCATATATATTTTTTCCCTTTCTTTTCTCCTTTCCTTCATCCCAGTTGTTCCTTCTCTTTGAGCAACTTCTTTCCCTTTCACAATATCTATTGTACCTTTCAGGTTTTATTTACTTTTTCAAGTTCTTACACTAGGGAAACAATATGATGTTTACACATGTGGGCCTGATTTATTTCACTTATGAGTATGGTCTCTAGTTGCATCCATTTTCTTATAAAAGCCTCAACTTTATCTTTTTTTTTTTTTTTTTTATAGCTGAGGAATACACCATTGTATAAAGACACCACATCTTTTTTATCCATTCCTCTGTTGATGGGCATTTAGGTTGTTCCCATGGTTTAGCTATGACAAATTGTGCTGCTTTATACATGGGTGCACATATATAGTTGTGGTATGATGTTTTCAATTCCTCTGGAAAAATAGGCAGGCAATAGCTCCGTTGAACGGAACCTCTAATCCTAGTTTTCTGAGGAATCTCCACATTCATTTCCATAGTGGTTGTAGCAGTCTGCACTCCAATCAATGGTGAAGAAGGGTTCCTTTTTTCCTGCAGCCCCTCCAGCATTTGTTATTGGTTGACTTCTTGCTGATGGCCATTTTTTCTGGGATGAGATGGAATCTCAGTGTTGTTTTAATTTGAATTTCATGAATGACCAATGATGTTGAAAATTTTTCATATGTTCATTTGCCATTTGTATTTCTTCATCCAGGAAGTGTGTATTCACTTCAGATGCCCATTTTTTTTTTTTTTTAATTAGGCCTTTAATTTTGGGGGTCTGATTTTTTTCAGTTCTTTATATGTTCTAGATAGAAGTCCTTTGTCTGAGGTACAGTTGGCTAAAATTTTTTCCCAATTTGTGGGTTTTCTTTTTCCCCTGTTGGTGATTTCTTTTCATATACAAAAAGTTTTCAATAAGATGAGATCCCAGTTGTTGATTCTTTGAAGTATTTCCCATGCAGTTTGGATTTTGTTCATGAATTCTTTGCCTACCTCTATGTCTATAAGATTTCTACCTACTTTCTCCTTCAGTAGATTTAATGTTTCTGCTTTAATATTTAGATCTTTGATCCATTTTGACTTTATTTTAGTGCATGGTGATAGACATGGGTCTAATTTTAGTCTTTGGCATGTGGAAAGCCAGTTTTTGCAGCACCATTTATTAAAGAGGCTATCTTTCTTCC